CTGGTTTTAACTCCTTCTCTTCCCTGACTTCTCATTCAGACACCAGCAGAAAGCCTGCTTGGGTGCAGTCTGTCCCACCCCTGTACAAAGGGGTTTAAACAACTCTCTTCCCATCACTGCTCAGCCCTTCTCTATAGCTTTCCTTTTTCTGGGAGGATAAAGACTCCCTGAGTGCCTCTGCAGGTGGTCTGGTAGGACAGCAGCATTTGCAGACTCTGCAGCTGTAGCTACAAATGCCCTACAAGCAACTGGCTGGGTTTAAATCCTTTAGACAATGCAGAAGACAAGCTCCACCTGAGTTAGAAGGAGAAAGGGCAAAGGGTTTAAATTGCTGCTCCTTGTGTTTCCTTTCCTTTGGTTTACATAGCAATTACATGGCAGGGCTGTTGCTGACAGCGGTGCCCTGTGCTAATGCCCCAGCTCCAAGCGTTAAGGCTTTATGTTCAGAGAAGGGCCAGGCTTGCCATTGATTATGCCATTATTTCAGGACCTTCTTGGCTCGTTCACTCAGATCTAATTGGCATTGCAGGCTCTTGCAAGTTGATTGCAATGTATGGTGTCTACTCAAAGTCCCAGCTCCTGGAGTCAGGGGATTAGGTGAGATGGTCAGCTATGCACTGGGTTTTTGTTTTGTTTTTTTAAATGAAAGTTTCTAGGCCTGATGGTTGCAGAGAGAAACCCCAAAGTTGTGCCTTAAGTGCACCACCTGGCTGGGAAACCAGAAGGCAAAGGATTATTACCTTTTCAATCTTGTTATTTTTAAACCAAATCTCATGAGGTTTGCAGGCCTGGTCCCTGTTGCTGAAAGGTCTCTGCTACCACTGCTAGGTCAATAATGTCTGTGCGCACAGCAAGAAGCAAAATGGTAAACCCTGCAAAGTTGGAGGGCAAAGTTTCCTGCATGCCAATGGGGCAGCGCTAAGTCATAAATCAGAGAGAAGTAGGGCTGGAAGGGATTTCCAGAGGTCATCTCGTCCAACCCCTTGACCTGACTGCCTCCCTACCTGACCTGTCACCTCTGGGCACCAGATCTCAAGAGCCATCAGCATCAAATACCCAGGAATGGCTCTTGCATTCAGAGGATGGCATCTGTGCCTTGCCAAGTATGCAAGGCAGAAACCAAATCTCAGGAAGGAAGGTGTTGGAAGTGGGCACAATGGAAACTTGCAGCAATGAAGCAAGCAAACAGACCACTTCATAACAGGGGAAAAAACTTTGTTAATCCCTGCCCGTCAGTGCCATGACGGTACATCAGGTGCTCTTAGTCACACTTAGTGTTTTGCTGCTCAATGCCTTGACTGGTTGTGGACAGTGACTAATATTTAGCTATTGACTGTGCAATTTAATAAGTCTTCTGGGGGCTGGAAAAGCAGAAGACGGGCATGTATGAGTCACTCCCATGCACTGTCTTAAATGCAAATCTAGCCATCCTCCCCAATGCAGCTAGGAATCAGTAGGAAAGAAATCCTGATGAACAAGGCTTCTTCTCTGGGGATAATCCTTATAACAGGAAAGCAAAAAAAGGGTAAAGGAAACACAGCTCCCCACCCTGGGGTTCAGCTCAGTCCTGTAGGACCTGGGAGCAGATCCTCACCAGTCCAAGACCTCCCCTCCGGGCTGTGACCCACGCAAGAGAAATCCCTTGTTTGCTAGCTGCCGATCAAAGGCCGGCATGGTAGGATGTTGAACACACGCAAGGGATTGATGCAGCCCTTTGCGTGGGGGTTGTTCTCCGAGAGCTGTGCCTTTAGGACGCCCATCTCCCTCCTGACCTCATGCCGATGTTTGGCAGTACAAGCCTTGACTTGCTGGGTATCCTGCACGGTTTTCCACTGGAGGAGCAGGACTGTCAGAAAACGAGTCTCGGATCACCCTGGTCCATCTTGTACCGGGAAGTTTCTTTCCACACGTTTGCAACATCTTGCTTTCCAAAACGCTTTCCACACATGGCAAGGCGCAGAGCTCTTCTTACGGATGCGGTGTTCCCGGCTGCTGGGCAGACAGTAACCCTCACCCTGCCCACAGACACAATTCGGAGATGGTGACTGATGAGCGTGAGGAGGAAACATAATTTCCTTGTGACAAACTGGGGCTGCTTAAGGTGACGTGCATGGCATCTTCCCATTGCCTTCCTAGTAAAAGAGCCTCGTGGGCTGCTTTTGTTTGGAAAGAGGGTTGAAAACTTGAGTGCCTGTCCACAAAGACTGATGTCACCAGCCAAATCCACTCTGCCTCGGGGTGCATTTGCCTTTGAAATAGGCCCTGAGCTTTCATGCAATGTGGACACAGCACTGTCTTGGCTAATTATGGGCAAAGCATTCAGGGTCTCGGTTCCTCCTCTGGAGGAGGTAGGTCACAGCACACCCCTGTCTCAAGTGCTTGGATAACGCAGTAAACAGAGTGGGAGTGTATAAAGGAGAAGCCATACTTTTGTCCAGAGTCTTCCAAGCTGCTCTGGAAGCCAACATGACTAGGTGTAATTGGAGGTGAAAAGACACCAAAGACACTAGAAGGCAAGCTTAGAGCAGAAAGTGGCAGGTTTATTAGTGGAATTAGCCACCT